GCGTCGATGCCATTTCAATGAATCATCATAGCAATCTAAGAATGGAAAGTGACGGGAGCAAATCCCCCAAAGGGGTTGCTCCTACGGATCAGAGATACGCCGGTCGGCTATCTCGGGGATTCGACCCTTCTTCCGAAGACTTGCATGTTAAAAGTCACGCAACAAGAAGCAGCTTAATACCTTGGTCACGTGTTTACCAAATGACGCAATCAACGGAGTTATTACCTAATCATCATCAATCAAAGGTTTATTCTTCTTATTCCCTCTCGGACGCAAGTGGCCGGGATGATTCGTCTCCTGAGCGACAATTTACCAGTTCGCAACATTACGTGGTAAGTTTAAGGGGTGACTAACTGTTTTTGCCCTTCCTCGATGTTATGACACTCATAGGCGGCTGGCTGCTTCAAGATTTCAAAGGTTGCATTTGTAGGATCCGGATGGCAATGAAAGTCGTTGAAAAGTTGGCAATTCATGACAAGTTTACTTCAGGTTAAAGGCAATGAGACACGCAGTAGTGTTTTGGTTTCAATGACTATACCCCTCCCAAACGACTATGAGCCATAAAGATGAGTTATTATATATTAATATTCCTTTGTCGGGCATTGTTGGGCATGTTTGCGGGCTTAAATGGAGAACTTGGCAGGCTAAAATGTATTTTATCTTTCAAATGTATTTATCTATTCAGTATTTTATATCTCACCTAACGCCCAAACATATCTTTACAATAAAAAAAATTATAGTATTTTGTATGACTTTCCGATTACCACATGAAAATGCCCTAAAATATTGCCCCTTGTATGAAATCATTTCTTTAATTTTGTTTGATTGGTTCTTTGTAGGTATACGAGCTACCTTTCCTTACTTTACGCGGAATCCGCGCCAATATACCTAAAAGGCATTTTCAGAAGTTTTGGAAAAAATAGCGGGAGCCTTTAAAAAATGCCCCGAACCATTGGTACCGAAATAGGGCCAAACTAACTTAAACAAAATTACTTTTTGTGTTAATTAATTGAATCTCATCGCAGGTGACAAACTATGAAGATGTTTCCTCGGAGAAACGAAACACATCTTTCTTCTCCAGAATCGTTTCATGGAGAAAAAACAAGGTATTTATTTTTTCATTTTGATTGATCGCTGAGTTCGATGACTTTTGCGTCTTTCCTAACTACGTAGATGTAAGGAAAGGCTGCAGACTGTCATGTGCTGCTTAGAATGATTAGGGAGATTAAAGTGTCTGGCAATTGGTTTTGGATGCGTCTTTGTCATTCCTTTCTACGTCGCGAAGGTGTTCTCAGAATCGGTTACCTGGTCGTCTTCCCGTTTCACCAGCAAATATCGGGACTCAAACCATCAATTGAGATTACTTATCTCTTCATGAGCACCTACGCCAAAGTCATCTATTGCATAACTTGCACTGACTGCAGAAAGACATTGCAATGCATTTGCTCAGGTACTGACATTGATTCTTAAATTCTGTAGGACCTCTTTTCAGGAGACTTTGATCGTTTTGACGACATCGTTGAAACTGGCACAGAGGGAGAAAATTTCATTAAACGACTCTACAAATTCTCAAAAAGGAAAGTGACAAGGTCATCAAGCTTTGCGCTCGAGAGTTTGCCAGATAATGTTCTAAGAGAAAGAAGAAACAGTTTTGTGGTGTCAGGAAATGACGAGTTTTTGTCTGGTATTGTCAGCGACTCAGTTGGAGATCCATGTAAACAAGAGAAAAAAGGTGAAAAACTTGTTCAGCAGACACATAAGGAAGAAACTTCTACCAGTGATGTGTATCGTGCCAAAGGCAACTCCTCGAAAAATGAGAAAACGTCGAGAGATGCTAAAAAGACTCGCAAACGCCATAAGGAAACCATTCCGCGGGAAAACTCCCTGATATGGTGAAAGCGGAATTTATCGCGTTAGCGGCTCAACGCAGGATGATGGAATTTAACTGAGAGAACCAATCCAGTCTCGTCAGTTCCAAAATTGGTCATTTTTTACAAGGGCTGTATCAGAGAAATAGGTGTTTCTCTGTCGTTCCTGTAACAAAAGAATGTAAAATGACAAATGGCCAACTGCATTACATAAGCAATAGTTTTGTGAGATCAAAAATTCAAATGTAATGGGAAAATATTAATAAAGCCATGAAATAATTTCTTTTTGCAAGGTCTTGAATTAGCTTAGGTTCGTAATTACCAAGAGATTATAAACTGTTTGTAATCTCTTGCGAGAGAAATCTCTTGTAATTACTTATTTGAGGAAAAAATCGAAAGTATTGCGAAAGTACCACAAATGTTTACTTAAAGACTAAAAATTACAGCATACTTGGTTTGGTATCGTATTCAAGATTCGCAGTAAAGAATTGGTCAAATTCTCTTGCAAACGCTGCTCAAATGATATACATCCGGGTAACTTTTCTTTCTCGCCTATTCATGTGTTGTCGAAAAGGAAAAATACGTTCATACACTCCCTATGATTCTCTAAGGAAAATTCAAACGAAGTAAGATCAATGTGACCAAATTTTTTGTGACCAAAAATATAATGGCCCAAGAACAATCTACATTGGTAAGGCATATATCCATGCCTAGCACGGGGGGATTAGTCGTCACCGACAGAGTGAGAAGAGGGGGGGGGAGAGACTTTAAAAAACTGATTGCCAATGAACTGCCATTATAACTGTAGTATAACTGCTTAAGTGATTATTAAGATGTGCGCGTCCTGATTGGCCAGGAATGCGTCATAATTCGTGGCATTCATCTCGTTAAGTTCACCTCGTTAAATTCTGTTAAATTCTAGTGGAGACTGGCTGCTTATTTCGATCCGAGTAATCAAAGCAATTGGAACAAAATGGTTTCAAAAGAAACACAAATTTACAACAGAATTGAAAGCAATATCCAAATATCCTGACCAAAACAAGCTTGCTGAACAAAAGATGAATTATATTGTAAAAATATTCTGCAGTTTGAATGCAATAAGCTCCACGTGAAAACGCATCTGTCATTTGCTTTCTCCCTCAAGTGCCTATAGGAACCGTGTAATCCGGAATTCCGTAAGAAAAAACATTTCTCCAAAGCTTTCTCAGCCGATGTGCTTTCTTACGTGGAGTTTATTGCATTCAAACTGCGGAATCTCCCGCACTGCAGAGGCCACAACGTGCTTTCTGCTCAGAACTTCCAGAAGCTTTGGCAAATGGAATGGAGCAGACACTGTGCAAGCAATTTTTCCAAAACCGAACAAACGCTGAAATGACAAACTCATGCCATTTGTCGCGCTAGACCGGTTCGTATGAACGAAGAGCGATGCCGTAACACCGGCTGGCGTCAGCCGGGCTGAAAGCTCTGATCTTTTCTGAGAATGAGGACAGCTGGGAAGTTTTGAAAAGAACTAGTTTTTTCGAAAATAGATTAAGAAGGCAACAAATAGTAAAAGAAAGGAAAATAAAGCGAACTATGGTATAGCGCTTTATGCAATTGTCAGCAATTTCGCTCTCGTTTGACTGACTTAACTAAAGAAAATCAAACCTGCCAAAGTCTTTCGTCTGTTCCACTTCAAAGTTTGGGAAAATTTTTGGAAACTTTTTAGCATATTTTCCAGGGGATCACTCGCTATCACTCGGGAATCTGTGTCTTTTGAAACTATCAGCGATCTGTGCAGGCTTAACTTAAAACATAAAGCTGAAATATCGAAGGGCTAATATATATAAAAACGACTAAAATATAAAAGGACTAATTTAAAAACGCTTTCGTAAAAAGATAAGTCTTCAGTTTTTTTCTTGAAATCGTCCAGACTGTCACAAGATCTTATTCCTAGTGGCATGTCATTCCACAACTGTGGTGACGCTACTGAAAAAGAACGAAAAAACCATAGTTGCGCAGATCATATTTAACATCAAACAGGCGATGGCCATCAGCAGATCTTAAGTTGCGGCTAAGAAAACTTCCCCTTTATACCATCTTCAGTTCCTTCAGGGGAAACCAACATGTTCGTGGATGATAAAATGATATCGTGTGTGGCTGAAAATGGGGATCAAGCAATACAACAGCTAAACAAAGCACTGAAGGAGCTTTATCCCTGGTGTCTAAATAACAGGATCGCACCATTCCCTAGAAAGAGCGAAAGTATGCTCTTATCTAAAACTAGCGCAGTGGGGCCGATTCCACCCGTCACCATCGGCGGTTGCTTTGTCAAACTGGTTATCAAATCGAGGTTACGCGGTGTAACTGTAGACGACGGGTTGACATGGATACCGCAGCTATCTGAAGTTAAAAAGAGTTTTGCCAATAAAAATAATCCACTAATAATATAGAAGTTCCGGATCAATATCGGTATCTGGGCAACTGCCCACCTACCCCTTCCCTAACTCAACAACAGTCAATTGATAACAAGCTAGGGTTGATGTTGGGTTAGGGGAGGGGTAGGTGGGCAGTTGCCCAGATACTAATATTAATCCGAAGTTCCGACCTAAGAATGTTTTAGAACAATTTTACTTTAGTATTATTTTTCCTTCAATAACTTACGGCTATATTACATGGGCAAACTGCAGCAACTCTGAACTATATAGGTCAATTGAAAAACTTCACGGCTGGCTGAGCAGTGAACTTACTCTAAAACTTAGGAAATAACACCTCCTATGAAGACATTCTAAAGATAGCCGAATGGCATTCCTTAGCTTACATCTTCAAGACCAATATGTTTAAGCTGGTGTATGATGCCTACAGCGATAGATTACTGTACAACAAAGTGACAAAATTGTAACCAAGAGAAATACCAAGTACTCGTTCAGAGGATCAGAAATTATTGTTGTTCCAAAATTTCAGGCGCTATTCTCTGGAATACAATTACATTCAAATACCAATATCAGCAAATTTACGTATTTTTTGCCAGCTGGCGAATGTGGTGCAAATTTAGATCACCAAAATTGTTACATATTTGCTCCTTTGGCAAACCCGATTAAATCCATTTTTCGTGCAGTGTAACCCCGCTATCGAACTACTCAGGGAAAATGATTAACTATTAAACATTTTAATTTGGCACTCTTCCCCTACATCATGTCTGACTAAAGTATCCTTTGTTGGAACACATACATATTGAGGTGGATGCCATACTTCAAAACCCACATTGTTTGTGATACTTATTCCGTTCTTACTCGCCAGCATGCCAACGTAAACATCGTCCAGTCTGAAGAACGGCAAAGAAGAGAAAGTGTCAACAAATGCACGTACAACATCGTGAGATAAAACGTATCCAAAACCGGGGCAAAAATCTGGATATCTTGTCTCGTTATATTCCTCGTAAGTTACCATCCATTTGCCTTTCCTATGAGGGCCCATGTTTGCATAAAGCAAGCCAGTGTAAAGCTTTTTCTTCGACGTGGTGGTCGCGTTCAAGAAAGAGAGAACTCTTGGAATATGTACAAAAACGTCGTCATCTATCTTCAAAAGAAACGAGAAATTGCAATGTGTTACTGCCCATTCGAAGCCCATTTGTATCTTTCGGGTTTAATTCCGGTAGTGGTCATAATAGCTAGCTCGCACAAGGTCTTTATGAGCTTCATCTTCCTAAGCACTCGTCAGACTGAACTTTTATATATATGTATATATGTGTATATTTATATTTATATATATGTATATATATATATATGTATATATATGTGTATAAATGTGGGGGTAGAGTCAACCTTGGCATAAAGTGCTCAATGCTGTGGTAGCAGAGCTGAGTATATATATAAGTGAAAGAATCAAAGAGGACACATCGATTCTCTGTTAGTCTGAGTAACAGAGAATCGATGCATCCTCTTTGATACTTTCACTTATATATATATATATATATATATATATATATATATATATATATATAATTTATACAATTAAATAAATGAAATTAACCAATGCCTTTGTTATTATTATATTTTTGAAATACAAATTGCTATTATTAAAAAGAAATAAAACCTTTCTTAATTGAACATGAACCTGAAACCCTTTGCTTATTACCAAATGTAACAATGCCTGCTTTAGTTTCTGCTGATTTGTCATAAAGAGTCATTTGATGCTCATAGCTTGTGTGCTGTGCTATCAAATAGGCAGTGTTAGGTGCACTACCAAGGAACAAGAAGATATTCTTGAAAAAAGTGATTCCAATGTAGTATAAGACTAAAATGGCTAGAAAGTAAAATGCAAGACAGACTGTAATAAAAATTTGGCAAAGTCGATTAAATATGCAAGCTGTATTTCAAGTATTTTCTAAGCCTCCTAAGATCCTACCAGTCAGAGGTTTAAGACTAAATAGGAAATAACAAAATGTAAATGTATTAATGAAAAGGTGATTCCTTGGAGTGTAAGACTAATTTGGAGTAAAGAAAAGTCAAATGTGGAGCAAACCGCAGTAAAAATTGGGCAAAGTTGACTAAATATGCAAACTGTACCTCGAGCTAGTTGTATTTTATAAGCCTTTTAAGATCCTACCAGCTAGAGGTAGAAGACCAAATAAAAAATATAGATGTAAACGTACTCTTGTGAAAAATTATTCCAGGGAGTGTAAGACTAATTTGGAGTGCAGAAAAGTCAGATCTGGTGGAAACCGTATTAAAAATTGGGCAAAGTCGACTAAATATGCAAGCTGTACTTCTAGCCGGTAGTATTTTCAAAGCCCCTTCAGATCCTACCAGCTAGAGGTACAAGACCAAATAAGAAAATAAATGTAAACGTACTCTTGTAAAAAGTGATTCCAGGGAGTGTAAGACTAATTTGGAGTGCAGAAAAGTCAAATGTGGGGCAAACCGCAGTAAAAATTGGGCAAAGTTGACTAAATATGCAAACTGTACCTCAAGCTAGTTGTATTCTATAAAGCCTCTTAAGATCCTACCATCTAGAGGTAGAAGACCAAATAAAAAATATAGATGTAAACATACTCTTGTGAAAAATTATTCCAGGGAGTGTAAGACTAATTTGGAGTGCAGAAAAGTCAGATGTGGTGGAAACCGTAATAAAAATTGGGCAAAGTGGACTAAGTATGCAAGCTGTACCTCTAGCCGGTAGTAAGCCCCTTCAGATCCTACCAGCTAGAGGTACAAGACCAAATAAGAAAATAAATGTAAACGTACTCTTGTAAAAAGTGATTCCAGGGAGTGTAAGACTAATTTGGAGTGCAGAAAAGTCAAATGTGGGGCAAACCGCAGTAAAAATTGGGCAAAGTTGACTAAATATGCAAACTGTACCTCAAGCTAGTTGTATTCTATAAAGCCTCTTAAGATCCTACCATCTAGAGGTAGAAGACCAAATAAAAAATATAGATGTAAACATACTCTTGTGAAAAATTATTCCAGGGAGTGTAAGACTAATTTGGAGTGCAGAAAAGTCAGATGTGGTGGAAACCGTAATAAAAATTGGGCAAAGTGGACTAAGTATGCAAGCTGTACCTCTAGCCGGTAGTAAGCCCCTTCAGATCCTATTTGCTAGAGGTAGAAGACCAAATAAGAAAATAAATGTAAACGTACTCTTGTAAAAAGTGATTCCAAGGAGTGTAAGACTAAATGGAGTGCAGAAAAGTCAAATGTGGAGCAAACCGTAATAAAGATTGGACAAAGTCGTCTAAATATGCAGGCTGTAACTCTAGCCGGTAGTATTTTATAAGCGCCTTCTGATCCTACCAGCTAGTGTACAGGACAAAAGAAATTTCATCTTGGGGATCTTTTTAACCAGTAGTAATATGACAAGGGCATTATAGTGACGATACTATTCATAAGTTTTGTTTACCTTTGCAAGCGTTGATCTTTGCGGCTACGGTGTTAAGCCAAAAGTCTGCTGAACAAGAAACTGAAGATCGACGAGGGTGAAGGAAACAGGGATAGAAAATTTGGCGAAATTTCCTTGACTTAAACTCAACAATGTATTCTTCACAGGTAAAGCATCTAATAATGTTCATGTCTGGTTCAATCACGTCGCTTGATTGTTGATAAATAGCAAATAGTGTTTCTGGAATAGTCCGCCATATTGGAATAGCCGACAATTTCCGATTATCACCCGACTCGGAAACTCGTCACTTGTGCTCCTCTGGCTTACCTCTAGCCGGTGGGATTTAGGCACAGTCATTCTTACCATCAAAACAGTCACGTTTGCATAG